GTCATCCATTTATAGGAGCCTCGGGGCTAAGGTTTCGTAGAGTTTCGTAGAGAATAAACTCTTATTAAATGGAGTTTATTCTTTACTCAAATTCGTAGAGATTGGGTCGGACTTGATTATATCCCTTTATTAGGATAATATCTGAATTAATAATATTATCTCATTAATTATAAGATAATATCTTATAATTAAGATATTATCCCTATTAATTAATTAACCAAGTAAATTGGTTTAATTAATTAATTTAAGGGATAATCTTCTTTTCCACGTGGCGTGCTGTGATTGGAGACGAAAATATTTGCTCTCACAATGCGCGTACACGGCAATGTTACTCAATTCACTCATATGTAAAAAATGCTTGAAGCAAGTCAAGATTTCAACCTTACCAAGTTAAATAAATAACATAAACAAATAAAAGAACCATGTTTACAGAGAATCTTTGCTTATAATTTTAATTTCACCTCAGTTGGTCCAGATAAACTGGTTCTGTCCAACTTGCACAGTCAAGCCCAAGCTTTCGAAATGTTGATAATATATCACAAGAAAATACGGCGAGATAAACACCAAAAACCCATACAGGCTGCATTTACTCACCTGCATTGAAGGTTAAATTAGTCGGTTCCCCAGGCGATATGCATCCATAAGGACCCTGAAAGAAAGACAATGCGTCATGGAAAAGTCTTCAAGAAAATCCCAACACCTACTGAAAAAACGATGCACCAACCATTTCTACCCTGCTTACACGGCCATATCTTTTGTTTTTTCTTTTTCTTTTTTAGCCAACATGGAGACTTAGCAATGGAGTACTGTGTTTTACAAGTTCAAACCAGACGAATCATAATATGTATTTCAGGGTTACAGTCTGTCAATACATTTATATCACAAAACAAATAAATATAGCAAAAGTACATTATATATAACTTGGCTATTAAGTGACCCCTTTCAACAGAAAACAAATAAGAACCGATGAATCAGAAACAATTAATTAAGAATTTTTTTATTTTTTTATTTATGGATTATACCTTTCATTCCACTTCCTGCTAAGTACGATGCTTTTGGATAAGTATGACTTAAATGATTCACGGTGTGTATGCTCCAACTTAGTTAGCTAGCCTACAAACGTACATTGATTACTTGGTGCTTACACAACGTATCTCCTATTCTAGGTAAGGATAATGTCTTGATTACGAGGATATAGTTGGCAAGTAAATCATATTGCATTCAGATCAGGATTAACGTCCATTAAACACAAACGAATTCAACGACACATCGCCAATTTTCTTGAAACTAGAATATAAAAAATAAAAAAATTAATTAAAAAAAAAGATAAAAAAAGGAAGAGGTCTCGATACTACGAAAAATCGACATTAGAAATTTAGAAGAGACACCAGTCCCTCGCTCTACTCTTTACTTTTTTATTTACTCTGTTTGCTCTTCAAGCAAGAAGAAGCTTTACTTACTCAGAATAAGAAGGCTTGAGTTCAAAGGCAGCGTAGAGTCTGGGTCGTCTTGCTCTCCAAGTTTATATAAGTCGGCGCTTGAAAGTTGGAGCCTTGAAGCCTAGATTTGGGCTCTTAGAGTTGAAGATTTTGAGAGTATTGTATTCATGGAGGAAGATAGCTGCGCCACACAACTCATCTATGGAGATGGTGAGTTTAACTCTTCTGGGCTCGACAGGTTCGTCAAGGAAGTGAAGCTTGCTGAGTGTGGACTCTCCTATGCTGTTGTTGCCATCATGGGTCCTCAGAGCAGCGGTAAAAGAAAGCTTTTTTACTTCAATAATTTAATTGATTGAGCTTGAGCAACATTGGGGTAATTAATTGCCTATGAAATCACAGGGAAGAGCACTTTATTGAACCATCTGTTCCACACTAAGTTTAGAGAGATGGATGCATACAGTGGAAGGTTAGTTTCTGAGCTTTTCAGTTGGTCATATACTCAATTTGCTTTAGAATAGGTGCTAAATATATATTATATGTATGTATTCACTTCAGGAGCCAAACAACTAAGGGTATTTGGATAGCCAAGTGTGTTGGCATTGAGCCTTGCACGATTGCCATGGATTTGGAGGGTACTGATGGCAGGGAGAGAGGCGAGGTAATCAGCTTTTTGTTAAAATCCCATTTGTTCTTTTTTGGCGAGGGATATAATCAGAGCTATATAATGCATAGTTCTATTCACATTTTAAATCTCTATGTAAAATGTAGTTGTTCTCAGATTTAATCGCTCTTCATGCTTCCTCAGCAATTCTGTTCTTTTCCAGGATGATACTACATTTGAGAAGCAAAGCGCCCTATTTGCCCTGGCAGTTTCAGACATTGTGCTGATAAATATGTAAGCTTGTTTTTTGGTTTATCTTGGAATTACCTGGCTGATAACGTACCTTACTTTGCATAGTTGATGGCCATATATGTAGTGGTTCCTCCAATTTGTTCTGGTAATAAGTGTTATGTCAAATGAGTAGACGTGTCTATTTAAGATTGTCACATGCATTGGTATCTCGTGTCAGTTTGTTTTAGCAAGACAAAGTTCGTTCCAAATTTGTTTTCAACATCTATATTCCTAGGAAAGAAGCTTCTGACATCATTTCTTTCTCAGTGAGTGTTTAATTAGGACTTTGCCCTTCATGAAAACGGGGGCTATTCACATTAGGAACTTTTAATTCAGAGTCCTGAAGTTGTTTGACATTTGAAGATAACAGTATATATGTAGGCTCATAGTGACAACCATATACTGTCTACATGACTTCTTATCTGGAAAGTCATGTCAATACTTTTTTATTTATTGTAATTTGTACATATACATGTAATTTAAAATTAATTGGAGATTGGATTATATATAGGTGGTGTCATGATATAGGTCGCGAGCAAGCTGCAAACAAACCTTTACTGAAAACAGTTTTTCAGGTACCCTTGAACCATGTCTATATCTCTACTGTCTATTCGGCATTTAATGTCGGTTAACGTTAATGAAATTCTGGTTTTGAATTTATATAGGTCATGATGCGCTTATTCAGCCCCCGTAAAACGACGTTACTGTTTGTTATACGCGATAAAACAAAGGTTTGGGCATACTTTTTTAGCTTATTAACAGGATCTATCCAATTATGTTGCCCTCGTGAAATATTTTCTTGTTCTATATTAATTTTTTCTTGTTTGTGGCCCTTTTTTTAGACCCCGTTTGAATATCTGGAGCCGGTTTTGAGGGAAGATATACAGAAGGTAATTTCGTCTTCAACGTTATGTTGTTTTATACCTTAGTTGTTTTCTTCGTATCTCTCAGATATTTTAAATTCTGCAGATATGGGATGGAGTTCCAAAGCCCCAAGCCCATAAAAGTACCCCCTTCAGTGATTTCTTTAGTGTGAGATCTCTTATATCTTTCTCTACTTTCTGACAGCCTGTGTTCTATTTAATGTCCTCATTAGTCACAAAGCTTATTGTTAACTGATTACAACATTCTTTGACATGAAGGTAGAAGTAGTTGCTTTGTCCAGTTATGAAGAGAAGGAGGAGAAGTTTAAGGAGGAGGTAACCCCTCTATTATCAGGAGCAATTCGTTATGTCCAAAATCATATTGGCCATTATATTTCTCTTTTTTGGGTTTCCGATTTCTGGGGCGTGTTGTATCATCTACTGATAATTGGTTGAATATGTATATTTGTAAATATGAAGAATTGCTTGATGTCCTTCGTATCAAGGGAAACATAATCATTTGATTTCATTCACATCAGAGTAAACATTTCTTATGTTCCTAAGTAAATTAGTTCATTGTAAATTTACTGTGATCCTTACTGGTTATGGCCTGTATCATGCAGGTTGCTCAACTGAGGCAGCGCTTTTTCCATTCTATTTCTCCAGGAGGGCTTTCTGGTGATAGACGGGGTGTTGTCCCTGCCACAGGATTTTCCTTTAGTGCACGACAGATTTGGAAAGTAATCAAAGAGAACAAGGACCTGGATCTTCCCGCTCACAAGGTTTCTTAGTTTCTTTTCTTCCCATTAGAAAACTATTTGTGATCTTCACTTCTCATAAGCCTATGACATGAGCATAATATTGTAAATGATTAAATTAGGTTATGGTTGCTACTGTTCGGTGTGAAGAGATTGCCAACCGGAAATTTAATCAGTTAGTCTATGATGAGGTATGTACTCATTGATCTCCATTTTTGAGATGCTTAGCCTTCTAATATGATCTATAAGGTTTTATTGGTCATTCATTGGATGATATGATTTAGGATTGGTTGGCATTGGAAGAAGCTGTCCAAACTGGTCCCGTACAAGGTTTTGGTAAAAGGCTCAGCTCCATCCTAGGCACCTATCTTTCTGAGTAAGTTTCACTCTGGTTTAAATATGTTAATTTAAAATTCCAAGGTGAACAAGGGGTTGTAACTGTTATGTTTGTGATTTTCTTTTAATTCAATGATGAAAGAAAGGGATTTGGTGGAACATCTAATTAGGAGAAGAAACACTATGTTTCCTTTCTTTTCCCTTTAGACAGCATTTATACTCTGCACCAATTTCGTTTCTAACTTACAAAGCATTGTTCTTCATTTGTTTCATTGTAAAAAAAAGAGACTTGGAAAACCTAATACCATTTAAGTGTTGTTACTTTTACTCTCTTCATCTACAAGAAAAAAGTCCTTTCACAACGCGCAATGTGCGTTGTGAAAACATATTGACAACATGCGGCGCACATTGTTGAAGCCGATGTCGTTAAAAGGTGTAGGGCTTTCGACAACACGCGTTGAACGTCGTCATTTATTTTGGCGCTCGTTGTGAACAACATTAACCACAACACGCGCACGTTGTAGGAGCGATTGACAACAACGTGCCGAGCGTGTTGTCTTATAATATTATGACAACATGTCTGTGCTCGTTGTTGTTTATGTTTTGACAACAAGCAATGCGCGTTGTTATATCAAATATATATGTTTTTTTTAAATAATTATCAAAATTACCTGATAAAAGTATAATTTATCTATAAATAGAGGCTCTATGATAAACATAAATATTTCCTTACTTCACATTCATAAGGCATCCCAGAATACAAAGCTTTCATTCAAAAGATAAATAAGGAGTTCCATATACATATTACAAAGTTATATTCATCCCAATATACTCATCGATGGTGAATGTAGCTGGAAACCACTGATTGAAGCTCATCAGCATCCTGAAAACCCCATTGCCTGTTGTAATTTGTTTGCATGCCAAAAGAAGACATGGAATGAGAAGTGCCCTCTTCGAAGCTGCCATATGAGACATTTTCTTCTGGGATATTCACTAAATTTTCTTCTGGGATATTTGAATTCATAATTCCATTCTCATAATTCCAACTTTGAGCTGCTTGATTAGGGTTTGAGCCATTGACAAAGCTTTGAGCTGCTTGATCCTTGAGGAAAGCTAACTGTGCTTGTAAGTTGACCACCTGAAAAGTTCAAATCAAAAGCATATACTCATCAGTTACTTCAACATACAATCTGAACAGAAACCCAATCTGAACATACAAAGGGTACTAAATGATTAACCTGCTGTTGGAGAGCAAAAATATGTGAAACACATCCATATATGGGATCTTGAATCCTGGCTTGAGCTTCATATGATATCGACATTGCGGCCTTGCATCGATCGCTCAACGGAAGGTGAACTAAAAGCCTCGACACATTGCTTGCGCCAAAAACCTTGTGGATGGCAGAAAAATCAACATCTCCCTCTTCATAGCAGAAATGAGGCGCAAAAATACACCCCGTCACACATTTTCTTCTCAAGAACTTGCAAGCTCCACAGGGAGAACCACAACCAGCCATGGTTCTGATGATCTTTTTTAATTGGTGCAAATGAACTTCGAAAAAATGTTTTGTGCTTCCTACATTATATACGTTTTATGTTGGTGTTTTGTGCCCCGCATTATTGGTGATTTTTGTTTTTGTTTTTACCTCATTAATGGTGATTTGTGCCCCGCATTATCCGCGATTTTTGTTTTTGTTTTTACCACATTAATGGTGATTTGTGCCCCGCATTATCCGCGATTTCTGTTTTTGTTTTTACCCCATTATTGATTGTTTCTGTTTTTACCGAACCTTGGGATCCTACCTAACAAATAATAATAAACCATGGCAATCAGAATAATGTGTAAAGTGATATATTTTAACAGTAAATCCAAAATTCTCAGGCAATCAGAACCATCAAACGCATGCAAAGGATCACTTGAAGAAATAAATTTCTCCACTAGACATGAGACAAAAGAGCCTAACATGAGTAGGCAGAAGCTATCATCGCCCGAGAAAATACAGGGAAAATACCTAACATGATTATTTTCAACGATAGAAAGAGCTGGACTTGCTTTTGGCATGGGGAACATATTCTCATAGGTAGGATATTTTAGTGATAAAGCTAAACAGGCCAAATCTCAAGTGCATAAGGATCGTATACAGAATTAAATACAGCTTATAGTGGCGATTGGAAAGACCAAGCAACTCTAAAAGTAAAACAAACTTAAATAGGAAATGTCCATGCTAATCTAGTTCAAAAATATTATTTTCACATTCAAAGAACCTCATGATGCTTCAGAGAGCAGCCGTGACTTGTGAACATTGCAAAATATCAAACTTCGCTTAATCAACCTTGGTTCTAAAAATCCATAATATAGACAATAGAAATGATTTGCAGTTCACAATACTTCGGAAGCAAAACAACAATGAGGAGCACAAGCCCTCACCTGATATAACAATTTCAGATTTCCCTTTGCAGAAAGTTAGATTGCTCATCTAATTGCATCAGTAACTCCTAAACAGAAAAAGTTCCCATTTGTAGCTCTCATATCAGATATACGAAACAATCATACACCCCCATTGCTACTAACAGATATAATCGCCAGTTAAACAAACTAACATGATATAATCGCTATTTGTAAATCCTAATCCATTAATAAAAAAAGACCAAAATTTGAAGTTATTAGCAATTAAATCAGCGAAAAAGCCCTAACCTTTTTTATGCTCGTCCTTTACCACTGGCTTGATCACGGCTTCTTCCTCGTCATCCTCTTTAACCGCAACAACAGCAGCAGGAGCCCTAGCCTCTCCACCTCCAAGCACAGCCTCTCCTTCATGTCATGGTCCTTAACGATGTGGATCTTGAAGGGAATCTGTGCCTCCTTCAAGGGCCTGGCGAGATCGTCGGCACAGGGAAAGAAAAGAAGAAGAAAAGAAAGAGAGAGAGAAAGAAAAAGAAAAGAAAGAAAAGAAAGAAAAAGGGAAAGAAAGAGAGAGACTGTCGGCGGTACAGGGAGAAGAGAAAAGAAGAAGAAAAAAGAGAGAAGAAAAAGAGAGAGAGAAAGAGAAAGAGAAAGAAAGAGAGAGAGGATGCGCATCCGCATGCGGGGCTTTTCCCGCAAAAAATTTGACTCTCTTTTCCGCCAATTTTTTATTTATTAAATAAATTAATATAATTTTGACAACACGCTTCGTGCGTTGTAGAACTTAAAACTACTACAACATGCAAGGTCGCGTTGTGAAAATAGCTCTATTCTATATTTTGACAACACACTATACACGCACGTTGTTATAAATTGTATAATACAACATGCTGCTTCTGCGGGTTGTTAAAAATATTGTTCCACAACGCATATGAATGCACGTTGTTGATTACATGTTGTCATAAGTTATTTTTCTTGTAGTATTCAAAAACATGTGTTAAAATTGAATATATATTGGTGGAGAAAGATATGAGGGAAGTACATACACTGTTAGATGCTTAAGATCATTTTCTCGGGTTGTAGTAGCTTACGTGATCTGATTCTATTTTCTTGTTTTCAGTCATCCCCCTTCTCTCTCTCTCTCTCTCTCTCTCTCTACAAAGTAGTCATGCCAGGCTGTTTATATTGCTGGACTTGCAACACTCTCCCAACCATATATATTAGATTGTTTGTTCTGAAGAACCAAGCTTATGTGCCTTATTTAAGAGCTCCATCTTCTGTATTTCCACCAGCTGAAAGCCTAAACCCTAAGTACATACACTGTTAGATGCTTAAGATCATTTTCTCGGGTTGTAGTAGCTTACGTGATCTGATTCTATTTTCTTGTTTTCAGTCATCCCCCTTCTCTCTCTCTCTCTCTCTCTCTCTCTACAAAGTAGTCATGCCAGGCTGTTTATATTGCTGGACTTGCAACACTCTCCCAACCATATATATTAGATTGTTTGTTCTGAAGAACCAAGCTTATGTGCCTTATTTAAGAGCTCCATCTTCTGTATTTCCACCAGCTGAAAGCCTAAACCCTAAGTACATACACTGTTAGATGCTTAAGATCATTTTCTCGGGTTGTAGTAGCTTACGTGATCTGATTCTATTTTCTTGTTTTCAGTCATCCCCCTTCTCTCTCTCTCTCTCTCTCTCTCTCTACAAAGTAGTCATGCCAGGCTGTTTATATTGCTGGACTTGCAACACTCTCCCAACCATATATATTAGATTGTTTGTTCTGAAGAACCAAGCTTATGTGCCTTATTTAAGAGCTCCATCTTCTGTATTTCCACCAGCTGAAAGTTAATTTTGTCAAAAAATAAAACTTCTCCTAAAGTTTGTCAAAAAAGATAAAACTTCTCCTAGGTGATAGTACTTATGGCTCGACAATAAGTAAATTTTTTATTATCCTTCAACTGCTTGCAAGGAAGCAACCAAATGCTATGAGTATGATGTAAAGTTCTTAATATTTGATAGGCCAGATATTACTCTGTTGGTTATTTCACGCTATAATTACAAAGCAACCACTGTAGCCATACTGCTTTTCAGAGAATAATTCCTTTTGTCTGTGTAATTTTGGGTAGTATAGTGTATCTCCATTTTATGCTGCTATTACCTTATATTTGTAGTAGTTTTACATTGTCATTGGATTGATCACTTATTCAAAAAAATTTGGATGCATTTTTCACACGTTACTTTGTCCACTGGTTTTGGCTTGACTACTAAAACTAGCGAGTAGCATCTCAGAGTTGAGGGATTCTTAAGGTGCATATGTGTCCTTATTTTGTGTGTTTACTATGCATATATAGGAAGTTTAATTGTTGGTGTTGTATGGGCTTGTACTGTTTTTAGTATTGGCTTTATTTCTGTCTTGATCTTGCTTATGAATGACAGATATGACATGGAGGCCATATACTTTGACGAAGGTGTAGGGAACTCAAAACGACAATTGTTGGAGTCAAAAGCATTGGATGTATGGCTACTCTCTGTCTCCCTAATTTAACAGAGGTTTTAGTTAGGTTTTCAGTTTCTTAGACAATTCTTGGAAAATAGGAAAGTTGTAATTAGTAGTGGTTTTTTCATTTTTAGAAGCCTCCGAATTAATTTGTTTACCGCATTACTGTTGACCCCAATCTCAAAATGAAGGGCATGATAATGAAGTGTATTGGCAACATAAATTTTCTCCTTCTGGTAGTCCTGTCAAATAATTAAGTTTAAAATAAGCTGCCAAACATCATTACTGAAGCTTGACTCCATCTAATTACATACGAAAAGTTTAAAGTGACTATAGAGCCTGCTTTTAATGTAATACTCAAACAGTAACATTGCCCGATCTTTATAGTTCAGATTCTCTTCAAACCCAGACTAATTAATGTGCAGGATGGATTTCATATTGTCAGTTTTGAGAATTCATAGGAGCTACTGATTCCAAATATCATGCTTATTTTAGCTTAAATCTTGTTTTCCTATGAATTTTCCAGTTTGTTTACCCTGCATACACGACCATGATGGGACACCAGCGTTCTAAAGCACTTGAAGATTTTAAAGTGAGGCTGGAGCAATCGTTAAACAAAGGAGGAGAATTTGCTTCATCTGTTCGTACCTCTACTCAGTCTTCCATGCTTGAGTTTGACAAAGGATGTGCAGGTAATAGAATTTGTGCAGGCAATTAATATGCTTGTCAACCAAAAAATCTTTTTTTATTACTTATCTTTTATGCTCTTTCAGATGCTGCCATACAACAAGCTGATTGGGATGCTTCGAGAGTCAGGGAAAAACTTAAACGTGATATAGATGCTCATGCATCATCCGTTCGTAGTGCAAAGTTGTCAGAACTGAATATCAATTATGAGGTAGTTTTCTGATAATGGAGTAAAGTCTTGGTTATACACCGGATGATACTTTTAAAGTTATGCTCATATTATTTGTTATTCAAAATACTCAATGCAAATACCCTTAAACTTTGCAGAAACAACTTTCTGCATCTTTAACTGGACCTGTAGAGGCACTACTTGAAACTGGTGGAAAAGACACTTGGACTTCAACAAGAAAACTTCTTAATCATGAAACTGAAGTTGCAGTATCAGAGTTCTCAGCCGCAGTTGCTGGTTTTGAGTTGGACAAAGATACATCTACCAAAATGATGCAAAATTTAAGGGATTATGCAAGAAATGTGGTTGAGAAAAAAGCACGAGAAGAGGCTGCAAACATTATGATCCACATGAAGGATCGGTAGAGAACTAATCAACAAATTTTCTCCTTTTTTTCATTGTCAGTTTGGTTGCTTATCACCTTTGTTAACATTTCTCAGGTTCTCAACAGTCTTCAATTATGATAGTGATTCAATGCCTAGGGTTTGGACTGAGAAAGAAGACATTAGAAGTATTACCAAGGGTGCCCGATCCGCGGTAATCATTGGGAACTTTTATGGAAGTATAGTTTATCTGTCTATTTGTGTTAAAGTGATATATTATTGTATTTTATGATCTCTTTCTTGCAGTCTCTAAAGCTTCTGTCAGTCATGGCTGCCATCCGCTTGGAGGAGAAGTCAGATAATATTGAAAAACTTCTCTTTTCTTCTTTGATGGATGGAACTGTTACTGTTTCATCTTCGCAAGATAGGAGAACAGCAGCTTCTACATATCCTCTTGCCTCAAGCACTTGGGAAGAGGTACACCATTTAATGCGTTTTGGTTTATCTGTATGATGTTTGTATGATCAAACTGGTTTCTTATTTAAGGTTAACTTTGAACCAGGTTTCATCAAAGGATACTTTAATTACTCCAGTACAATGCAAGTCGTTGTGGAGACAGTTCAAGGCAG